TATATTCTATATTCAAACAAAAGGACATATTTGTTTTTTTATTAGTATCTTTTTTACAGAGTTAAGTAGTGTTCCTATATGTTAATCTCTTTCAAGCAGCCTTTGTTTGCACTGTCAAATGAAATAAGACAGAATTGTTATTTCTAAAAGAATGAGAATGTTATTCAAATAACTGAGAAATTCCAATCTATTATATGTCATATCTACAAGGATATCTCTGGAAGTAATGCCTCCTATTTTTTATGTTGACCCATAACATCAATAGTGGACATTGGTACATTTTCTTATTGAGTTGCTACACCACACCCATCCAGTGTTGCACACAGAGCCTTGCCTGAGTTGTTAAGGTTACAAGGTCATTGAGTGCGCAAGGATCTTTTGGATTGGGGCAAACTAGAAGAAGCTTCATAGTTTGTGATTACTTGCATTAGTAGTCGGGATCAACATCAGTGGTATATCCACATTTGTGAAGATTGGCTCTACAGTGACCAATAACTGTTTGGAGGCAATTTAGACAGGTCCAGAAGGACCAGGTATCACTGGAGTCAGTGGGGCTGAGAGAGAGCCTGTGTCCCACCATAAGGTGGCTGCACCATAGGGACAGATTCTAAGTGCTTTATTATTCAGTGGTTTGGCTGAGTGTAAAAAGCTGTATCTTGGCTTGAGCTTCTTTGTCATTGGTTCACAGTTGTGGAGAGGATGACAAGGGTCAATTTCCTGCTTCAACTTCTCCAACTGGGAGTGGACTGTCCTTCTTATATAAAAGGGAGCAATTCCACTAAGCAAGCAGAGGTCTACTTTGGTTGGCTTGAGACACCCAGTGATCAATCTGCAAAGTGTTTAAGGCAGTCAATTTTCTTTGTATGTTATGATCTGCTCCATACTGGTGAGGCATATTCTGCTGTGGTGTATAGCAAAGGCTGTGGTGTGGATTGTACTGGTATGGGCACCCCATTTGGTGTTAGCCAGCTTTTTTTAGGATGTTGTTTCTTGATATGACCTTGGCTATAGTCTTTGAAATGAGGTACTTGTATGTAAGGGAATGGTCCGTAGTGAAGTAGAAATATGTTGTTCAGTTACTCCATGTGGAAAAATTGCACACACTAACATTCATTGACACAATTGTTGAATGTTCATAGTGGTTATGAGCATAGTTAGGCAGTGGTGACAGTGATGTGTGACAGGCCACATTCTGAGAGATTCTGTGCTGTTGTCAACCTATGAAAAAACTTTTGTTCATCACTAGTGAAAATGCATATCTAATGGAGGTGACTATGTGGAAAACTAGTGTTTTGTAGCTGACAACTTGCTTTATCCAATGGTGTTATTGTGTCCCATGCATCTGTAATAGTTTATATAGGATTATATAGGAAGTATTACTTTTGGAGCATCCCTTACAATCATTCTTTTTATTAATTTGAATAATAATAGTAACACAAATTGTTACTGACTAAAAAACATGTTAATCAATGAATTACTGGAGTTTAACATATTTAAAAGCAAATAGATTTTTCTAAACAAAGTGCTTAATAGAAAAACAGAGCAACAATAGTTAACAGATAAATAAAAGCTTAAAATACTTGTCATTTGAATTGTCTTTTATCTATTAACTATTAATATGTATATATATTTTTAAATAATTTCTTTTTCTTATACTTAGGTATACTAAAATCTTTTGATATTTCTAGACCAGGGTTATACAATTTTTAGTAACTATGCTTACCAAGAAAATTAATGAAAATAAAAGAACTGTTTGAATAAAATCAGATGACATGTATAAACTAAGTGTTTTCTTGTTGATGTCACCCAAAATAAGAGGATTTTACCAATATACCAGATAAAAAAATCTGACATTAAAGATTTGACAATCCCATGAACCCCTCCCCCCCAAAAAAAACAGGGTGTCAAAAGGGTGGTTTTTCTCTTGACACCACTTATTTTAACTATCTTCACTTCTTAGCAATGTTTATCGTTTTAAAAAGGGATCAGAATTTTCATAAAACCTAAAAATATGTGAATTCATACATTTTCTTTGTTTTTGAGAATTTACAGGTATGATAAATATTGCATTGTATTAGTTTTAATTGTTTTTAGAATGTTGTAAATACAAAATTATTCTTTTTACACTATTTACATTGTTTGGATTGTTGTACTCCTTTTTATTGTCACATTCACAATGTTTTGGCTGTTGTACACTCCGGCTTCTTCAAGTGATATTTGTTTGAATTTCAAACTGAAGCCAGAATAGTCAATCTCAATTGGAACTCATATATACATGATCTATTGTGAAAGTTGCCGGAAAAATGGTTGGCTCATTCTACTGCTCCAGAAAATATCTGACTCCTTCTGCTATGCTTTATCTTTACAAGAGTCAGATTAGACCAAAAATGGAGTATTGCTGGTATATCTGGTCTGTGGCTGTCCACTCTTCACTTTCCAGCTTTGAGAGTGGTCTTGTGGGGATGACTTATTTTACAGCCTCTTTCCCACAGACTCAACCTATCCCTACTACAGCTAGGATTCATCACCCTCATTTCCTCTGTATTCCAATTGTAAAGAGGAAGTTGCACTCAATATTTTCTCCAGAACTGATACTTTATGGAAGAGACTCTTGCATGGAAGCTTCCCTGAACACTACAATCTTAACTTCTGCAAATCAAGGGCTAATCATTATCTATCCTTATCATAATCTTCACTTCCTACTACCCCCTCTTACATTCATATCTGACATCCCATTCAATAACTACCTGCCTTGAGTGGCTCTGGAGCCTTGTATTAGGTGAACTTTAGTTAAGAAAATAGGTTATCAGTAGTTAATAGTTAAGAGGAAACAAAAATTCTGGATAATTTTTTTTTTTTACAGATAATAGACTTAGTTGCTAGTATTTTAAATTATTGCATATATGAGACAATGGAATTTTTTTTTAAAAGTATTCAATATTAAGCAGCACCAGTGCCTCCAAATTGGTTATAAACAGCTATACATAACTGATAGAGAAATAAATTTGTAAAGAAAGTAAAATTCTCTCAACACATAATTTATATGCAGGAAAATAAATGCATATTGCCTCAGTCCTTGTGACATATACAATTTTTTTTAATACCAACTGTAGACAATCCAAGGCTGCACTGAAGTAGGCTACTCAAAATCACCTGGTTCCCTGAGACTACTCTGTCATATGCATCAAGGAGTGCCTTTGACTACACCTGAGAAACAGAGGTACCAACTGGAAGATTGATTTTTTTTGGTCATTAGGATTTAATTAACTGTTTAGTTTATAGCACCAAAATGAGTAAGAAGAAAAAAAAATTGGAACATTACCACTGGTTGAAATGCAGTTTTACTACTAACTACTATAAAAAAAATCTATTTTTTTAATGATTAAAAAAACAAACAAAAACAACTCTTATTTGACAAAATTAGAAAAAATGTCCTATCACTTCTATTTACTTTAAGACGTGGTCGATCATGGCCCTCCACAACCTCCTATACCTTGTAGCTCTTAGCAACGTTTTTTGTCTCTTTGCCACCTCTTCCCTTCCGCCATCCATACACAAGAAGCTCATCAAGTAGGTGTCTCCCTGCCTTCCCCTGTCCTTTGTTTTCTTCGCGATGTCACTAGGCAGAAAATTCCACTGATGAACATTAAACAATAAAATAAAAAATTTCAGTTTAAAAAGGAACACCAGAAGTCAAGTACTGAGGTCGGTGATTGAAAAGTGTAACCGACCCCACATCACAGAAACATGCGAAGAATTCACAACAGCCGCCTCTTGGAGTAAATGAGCAACGAACAAATCAAGTTATTGGAATGGCCAATTACATTTTTTTTTTTAAATTAGAAAGACCGTAACTAGCAATTTAGTTTATTAAACAAAATGTGATGCGATACAGTGAAATGAGAAGAGTTACTTAAATAAAAATGCGTGGTAAAATGGTTCAAAGTGGACTCAAATTTTTCGCCGGTTGTTTTTGTGACTTTTTTTTTTGCTATGCGCAATTTCAAAGTGATTTTCTAACACACACAATTACTTCGTTTTTACATATTTCTTTGGTAACTAACAGATATAAACAAAACAAAACAAAACTGTTTAGTGCTTTAATAACGTTTGTTTTTTGTCACCAGAAGCACAAAAAAGCGGAATGGGTAAGCAATATAGTGAGTGGATTGACAATAATACCACTTATTCTTGGAAAAATTTTAAAATAATAAAAAAAAGAAGCTATTTTCTTAGTTTTGACTTTTGTTGAGCCTACATACAGAAAAAAATAACCGTGGACTTTTCATACTTTTTGTTAAAAAAAAAAAAAAGAAAAGAAAAGAAAACAGTACTGTATTGTTCACCTGTAGTAAAAATGCAATTACATTTTTTTTTTTAGGCTAAAAATTAAAGGATTGAATAAAACATCCGACCAGGGCATTCCGTAGACAAGACAACCCTAGGATATGATGAGATATGATGCGAATGGTTTTCGTTGATTTCCACTTTTGTTGGTGATGATTGTGCGGGAGTAAAATCGATCATTCAGCTCTGTACTAGTTAATCTACTTAGGATGACTCTAATAGAAAATGTAATGATGAATGAACATGATGAACTTAATCAGCGTGTTGTTGGGCCAAATTTTTGTGACTAGTGACGATGGCAGTGTGTAATTGTGCGCAAAGAGGTGATTGGAAAAAAAAAATAGAGAAAGCAAAAATAAGCCATTAATTAAAAAAAAACAACTTTTTAAAATAAGTTTTGAAAAAAAATTTAAATAGAAGGTTGCATCGAGTTGGACTGAAGAGGAAAAAAAAGAAGACTATATTATTTTTAAGCGCAGCAGCAGCTTGTGGTTCTCCTTGGCAATTTTTACGAAATGCACATATATCATGAAATAAGGTTTCAGTTTACAAAGCTGATTCCCAATTGTGATGAAGGTTGTAAAAGTGATGTAGCATATAGTGGTGGGACTGAACTACAACTAACTGAGCTAATGTGTGTGCATTCGGCTTACCAAAATTTCACAAAAGCTGTAGCTTGTAAAGGACAAGGTTGGTCTGGATAGAGCTGACTACATGCTTTGTCTATTGCCACCAGTCCAGCATGTTCAAATCTATTTATCTCATCAAATTCACCATCCAAATTTTCCTTTTCCGTATCTTCTGAATCCACCTGCGCCATGTCTTCAGTTTCTGTTAGTGTTGTTACGTATTCAGTTATATTTTTATTTATTTATTTTTTCTTTGGAGTGATCTTCTCGCAATTTGACTTACTTGAATTTACATAAAACGCCACTAGAGGTCGCAGTTAATTTTTTTTTCTTTAATAAGCTTCTATTTGTCATTTCCGGTGCAGTTTCGTTCATGCGGAACCGGGCAACTGTCAAATTTAACGGAATTGTATATCAGTTTGGCTACATATTGAAGTTTATTTTTATGCCTGTTTTACTTAAGTTGCAATTAATTTTAATTGTACGAATTGTATTTTAAAAAACAGTGCGACAGGTTAACCTCAATTTAAGCATCGTATTGGCGTTTGTAAGTTGTGTTATATTTGCCTGTAATTTTCATTTAAATAAATGTACATTTTTATATACATATAGATAACATCGAAATACAGTTTAATCTCTGAATGTTTATTCCTTATTTTTACTTTCAGAGAAATTGCGTTAGTCTGTTTACCCGGTTTGGAGTGCTGATACTACCGGAAGACATTATCACGTGACATATGAAAGTGTCCACTATATAATCTCCGACCCAATTTGTCAACAGTGAACTTTTTTGAACAGAAAAATTGTAACAAAATAAAAAACAGTTTTTGTTTATTTCGTTAACTTAAAGCAAACATTAAAAGCAATACTAAATATTTTTATAACATTTGATTGCAATGATCCTTGTTATTAAAGATTGAAAATCCGAGCTAACATGAATGGACTTCAATGGAAAGATTGGGTATTAGAGAGTAAATTCCCAGTCGGTGGTAAATAAGTAAAACAAAACAAAAAAAAGAATTAACTAAAAAAATAAATAAAAAACAAAAAGTAATGAAAAAAAATGGAGCATGGTTGTTGTACAACTAATCATTCTAGCTCATCGGACTGTTTTACAACAAAACACATTGAATCTAACTGTGGAAACCAGCTAATCAAAATTTTAAAACCTTAAGTGATGGCCGGTTAAGTTGTGAATTGTTGATGAAATAAACCAAAATGAATACAAGCATAAGCGAAGATTCAAGGAGTTGTAGCGAAGCGTATAATGAGGAGGAAGAAGAAAGCCCAGACTCCGACAGACGACTCTCTCTCGCCTTTAATCAAAGTCGACATACGGAGAAAATACAGGCTCCAGAAATTGTTACACAGACATGGAGAATGAAAGAAAGAGTATGTATGGATTAATGTCGTTCATTTAACTGGTGTGTGTGTGGTTTGTTTTGTGTTTATTTTTTTTAAAATAAAGCAAGAGAAGATGTCACTTTAGTTTGGGATAAAGGAGGAATAACAACGATTCTCTTTTCTTTTTCTCAGTTGCAAAGAAAAGATGGAATTGCCATAAAATGGGAAGTCGATCGTTTTGGATTTATTTCTTAAAATATCCCCTACTTAAATTTCTGAAGCGTTATCCAGTTTGTTAATTTCGTCAATTTTGACGTTAACTACATAATTTAAACTTACATAAAAGACCTTTCCTTTAACGACCTTTACAAAAAACTCACACGTGGGTTTCTTTCCGACGTAAGAAGCGTAATGTAGCCACTGACAATAGTGAACCCCTCCCCCAAAGGATTTCTCTTGTAAAATTTGGTATCACAAGCCAAATTCCTTATGAACATTGTGAATTGGGGTGCTTCCTATATCAGATTTGTCTTTTTAATTTGTGACTATTTTGCTCTAAAATCAAATGCATCATGTGAATTTAAAATTTGTCCCTTTTTTTGTCATATAACTCAAACTAAATAAAATTACAGTATCACAAGCTATTAAATTTCAGCTCTAAGTTTGAATCTTATTCTTAATGTTTGTTGTTCGTCTAATTTAAAGTTATCTAATTGCAAATAAAAGTAATTAATTATCCTTAAATTTCATGACAAGTGAAAAATCCCTGCTTTCACCTCAATAACATTGTCAATATTGTTTTTTTAGTCTTCTCTTAGGTTGTTTAGCTTTATTTTGTTATTTGTTCTCAGTCTCTTACCAAATAAATTGTCTTTTCTATGAGTTCGACAAGAAATTAAGTTCTAATTTAATGTCAAAAATATGTATCTGATTTTAAAATTTTAAATCGATGCACAACAACAAATTTTTAATTTCATACTTCTGATGTAAGTGCCAATATTATTTTGATACAGTTAACTAAGTTTTTTTGCTTATGCCTTAAGATTTCTATCCGATTATATTTCTTAGTGCATTTTTTACCAGATGAGCCACGTCAGCCAAAATATTTCTACAATCAAACCGTTTTTACTTTCATTTCGTATGTTATTATTTGTATTTAAATTCCTTATTAGAAACAAGATTTATTTTCGTTATCATAGAGCTAGTTTAAAATCCGAAACAAAGTATCTTGCTTCAAACTACAAAATATTCATATTGTATAATATAAATTTTTTAAGACCTCTTTTTTTGGTAGGAGTGGATATCACAAACTGTACGTTACAAGGAAAAGGACCCATAACCCTGATTTGGTTCAGAATTACTAAAATGAGGAAGTTTCTTTATCAGAATCACTGAAATTTTTCTACTATTGAATTTTACTAGTGTACGAGAATAATTTATTGCAATAAATATGAAAAGGACTTTTTAAAGATCATTAGCAAAAAAGCGAAGATATGAATTAGGATTCCATTTTTAGGTACCTCCAAGTCCAATGTATGACAAAGCTATTTTCTTCGATTAGCCACACAACACATTCTCTACGTTTTGCAAAGTTTGTTTTCGTTTTGAAAAAAAATGTCAAATTGTGAAAGTATTTGCTACAAATTACGACGAATAAAAAAAGTTAATTTAAATTAGGGGGAAAAAAAAAAACAGCGCACGTTTGAATTTTAAAACTCTTGATAAATTAGCAAAATCTAGAAATAAACATTTGGAAGTTACAATGTTGTTATTTAGAGACATATTTTGGTTGAGTTTTACTAAGCTTATTTTATTGACCCAAACCTCAAGTATGGGACACAATGAGCGTGATGGAACTCACTACTCCTATGAGTCCAAGTTGCTAACCATTATTACTCTTTACGAGATTTATTTCAGTCATGAACATCCACAACTTTTTAGAGAGCTAACATCAAATAGTAATAATGTAATAAATGAATACACTGATGATTAGCCAACTCAAGTGTTACTTTACAAATGACAATTTCACAATTTAGGTTTTTCATTTACTAATAAGTAACTCCAGTTTCGTTTTTCTAATTTTGCATTAATAAATCTCGTTAGCCTTCAGAACAAAACCCCTTTTTTCTTTATTATTCGTAATGCTTTTTGAAAAACTGTATCAGATTTTTTTCAAAGCAACATTATGATAGTTTGTTTACTTTTGGTGAGTTAATGATATGTCATACTCTTATCAGTGATAAGAAATTGCATAAACAGACCTTTTCTTTAATTCATTGTGTTGGGTGATGAGTGTGTGAATTGTCTTGTAGATAAAATAAATGCTGACATAATGGTATTACTTTTGAACATGTTTTTAACCAGTAAGATTTTTGTACTTAAGAGAGACTTGTGGCCATTTGTTGCTTTTTCATAGTTTTCAAACACTTCACAAAAATAGATGCAAAACTAAAAAACAAAAACAAAAACTGTTCTCAAAGGAAAATTACTAGATTATAAACCTGGTCCTTAGTATCGAGAAAAGTGTCTTTCTAATGGCAACTGAAACTCTACTCTAACTTGTCCATTGAGAAACATCTTATACATCACTATTGATTTGGCACATGAGAAATGATTTTTTTGTTCTTCATTTTTTTAAGTTTGATTCTCTCTTGCTTGCTCATCTATTCAAATGTTACTTTTTAGTTTAAATAGAAAGAATTATTTTTATTGAAATGGGTTTTCATTTTCTTCTTACATTTTTATATTAATTCTTTGATAAACTCTTCAGTGCACTAATTACATGGTTACAAACATGTGCTTGTTAAGATAAATTTGATTAGTCTTTTCTTTGTCACTATTTAAAAAAATTCTCTAATTTCATTTCACAGTGATATTTAAGTATCAGTTTGTACTGTTGCAATGATGCTCATTGATATTGACTGTAAAAAAATTGCAAAATCTTTGATATAACAATTACACTAGTGTTAGATTATTGTGACTTGGATACATAATGTATACTTTAGAAAATTTAGGCAATATCTAGAGGCAATATGAAATTTGAAATCAAATCATTTTAGAGACATCACTACACATAATCATTATTTGGCAATTTTAATAATGCTAATAATTTAATCCTGCATGAAATAAGACTCTTGTACTTTTGGACTAAATCCAAATGTTGCTATTAAATCACCATTATTTTTTTGTTTTGACGAATTGAACTTGCTGTTTTAGTGACCTTTATTCTAACATTTTAAACTAGATGAATTAAAATGCTTGTTATTTTTATTTTTAATTAAATCTCATAACATGAATCAGCTTCGTGTCAACATGACACAGATATCTTAGTTTTATAAAAATAGTTACCTTTTTGTATAATTTGATATTGCCATCATTTGTCATCTTTGTTGTATGTAGACAAAATCTGTTTCGTTTTAAAAACGTGTAGTGGCTAGAATAAATTTATCTGGGTTCTGAAAATATTAATCTGCTAGGAGGTAAATTTAGAAAAATGTGATTGGCTGTTTGAACTCAATAAAAGAGGTTAGTTTGAATGCTTAATGACTTATTAAACATTTGAGTTAAAATGTATACTACTGTTTTCAAGCAATAGTGTATTTAAGAAAATATGGTTTGGATGAAAGCTTTCCTTTTATAGACGGTATTGGTGGCATAAACATCTTTCTGTTTAATTGATGTGTTACATTAGCATTAGAGGATTATTATGGGTTAACAGTTACAATATATTTATTACTTTTTTTTCTTCATATATTATTATTTATATTCTCCTTTCTCCTGCTGATAAAAACATAGATATATAGTTTTATGTATATTTTGTAATTAATAGCATTGTATTTTGACTCTGGAAAATGAATGTAAACAACAATCTGTTGATCCAATAAACTAGGTATATTATATAGTGTTTTTTTTTTTTTTAAGCCACTTCTTCAGGTAAAACTTACTTAAAATGTGACTATAATAGGAAATGTTATATTCTTAACAGTTTGATAATTTATTACACTTACTTGTACTTTTGACTTAATTCTTTTGGGCATTTTAATATTTTTTATGCATTTTTCCTTTCAGATGAAAACTGTGAGCGTTGCCTTAGTATTATGTCTAAATGTTGGAGTTGACCCGCCAGATGTGGTCAAAACTTCACCATGTGCCCGTTTGGAGTGCTGGGTGGGTAAGTAGATTACTGATAATATTCAACTCAGAACATTTGTTTTTAACTCTTTGTTAGTCAATAAAGCTTAATAATATTCAACAGTTACATACACTGAGACCCTCTTGGAATTTTTTTTTTTTTCAACATTTATAAAAAGAATATTTTAAGAAGACTTTGCATGCTGTTAAATTTGGAATTCAGTATTCATGCTTGTTTTTCCTTTTATCATTTTTGTAAATTATTTTCAGGACTTCAAAACTTTCAGAACATAATTCATCATTATATTTTTGGGTGTTAACTAAAATTATCACTATTCATTTCTGTTAGGAAAATTATACCCCACTGAACATGAAAAATATTTGAATTTCATTTTGCCGAATACTCCAGAAAAAGTGTCATTTAACAGTGTCAATATTATCAAAAAATTTTGGTGAAAAGAATTCACTTTTATATACTCATTTGCAGTGCATGAAGCTTACTAAGGATGAAGATGAAGATTTTGTCACATATGCTAGTAAAGTCAACTGTGAGTATGAGAAATTTAAACTGGACAAACTATCCCCAGACAGATTTAAATGTCTAATTTTCATTAAAGGTCTAATATCAAGCAACAATGTGGAAATATACACTCAAATCCTTACAAAACTTGAACAAGATTCAAAGTTAATGTTACAGACTCTTGTGGAAGAGATTAAAAAAATTGTCAATTTAAAGCACAATACACCAAAAATCAAACAAAATAGCATGTCAGAACTATAAGTAGTTTGAAAAAAGATAATAGTACCAAAAGAAAAAAATCTGAAATAAAAATATTGCCAAACTTAACCTATGCTATAGATGTGGTATGCTTCATTTCAGAAAGGACTGCCTATTTAAAACCAAAAAATGTTTTGTGGAAAAACAGGTCACAAATGAAGCTACTGCAATTCAAAAATTAAAAGAAATACACAAATTAACTTGCTGAAAGTAGTGCTAATATCTAAAAAACTGGAAAGTTTAAATAATAGGAAATTTGTGATAGTAAAAAGGATTAACGCTATGGTGAGATTTCAATTGGACATTGGTAGTGGTATTATAATTATTGGTGAACAAACTTGAAACAGAATTTGCAAACCTAACTTGTAAAAAACCAACAAAGTTGCAAGGGGAATATTGGGCAAGAAATTGATTTTTCTTGGGAAAATTACTTATAAAATTACATGGCTCTTGCAGGTAGAACTAAAAAAGAATACGTATTATAAAATTCCAACTCGAATTTACAAGGTGTTGAGTGGTTAGAATTATTTGAACAATGGAATTGGCTGATTAATTCATTCTGTGGAAAAAATTAATTGTTCATCAGATAAAAAGACTACAGCTAAAGAAACATTGAGAAAACTAAAAAATAAATTCATGAATATTTTCTCAGGAATTGGGAAAATGTATGAAGTTAGGCATTTTTCAAATTAAAAGAAAATGGGATTAGTTTTTAAGCCTAAAAGAAAGATACCCTTTGCTATGTTGGAGTCTATTAACATCAAACTTGATAGGTTAGAAAATTGCATAGTTATTGAAAAAATAGATTATTCAGAATGTGCTACGCCAGTGGTTTATATTAGAAAGAAAAATAAGATTTGTTTATGTGCAGATTTTTTGACTGGGTTGAATAACTGCCTCCTACCACATGTATATCTCCTACCAACTCCAGAGAATATATTTGCCAAATTAAATGGTGGTAATATTTTTTTAAAAATTGACCAATATGAGGCATATCTTCAAATTGAAGTGGATGATGAATTCCAAAAGTATTTGACTATTAATACACATAAAGGACTCCACAAGTTTAGAATATTAGCCTAGGTATTTTCCAGCAAATAATGGATATGATGTTGGCTGGACTAGATAGTGCCATTACTTACATCAATTAATCTTTACCCCACCAAATTTTTTCTAGAATTGTTCCCCCTGGCACCGAATTTTTTTAAAAATTATTTTTTTGAAAAAAAAAAAAATTTTTTGCAGGGTGCAAAAAACATGAGCACCTACTGTTGTAGTTATAACTTTTTTTATATTGTGTGTATATTTTTTTTATTTTTGTATACTAATAAAAGAATGGATGAGTAATATTTTGATGTAATGCATTACATTTTGCATGCATGTTTTGACATGGAAAATAAAAAATTGAAACAAATATATTAACGATTTAACATACTTAACTTTTATTACTTCTTGTAGAGTTCTGGGGTGCAGTAAGAAGCAAAATAGCTAAGAAGGCTTTTGTTTTGTCAGAAGTGATGTTCTTCCATATTTTTAAATATGAGTAGACACCAGCATTTGTTTCTTCTTTCATTCACCTGACTAGCATAATTGTCTTGTTAACAAAGTTATTATTTCATCATTTATAAATAAACGAAATAATTCACCTTCAGAAAGGCTATCAGGTATATCCACGAGGCCAGTAGTTTCCATAAAATTAGTTAGCCATGGATGATAGTAGCCTCTTGGTACCTAGTGATCATCATAGCTTTCCTCCCTATCACTATTGTGGTTATCATTTCCATCTCTGACCACTTCACTATCAATATCCACTTGATCAAAGCCTTCAAAATCATCATTGGAGTTTGAATCAAAGAAAAACTCCTGAATAAAGGCTTTGTTGGATGTTGATGCGGTCATTTTTGTTTAGAAAAAATTGTGACAAAATTAATGTGGGTTTAATCAATGTTACACCTCATAGAGTGTAGAAGAATTCAAAATGGTGTCAGAAAACCTAAGTTTAGCCTTGTTCCAAATTGGTAGAGGGTATTTCCAGCTTAAAATACCAGAAATAACAGTTGACAAGTATTTATTTATAGCAATCATCTCGAGACAACATAATGTGCCTACAGCTACAAAGAGTACAAAGAGAGAGAATTCTATGGTGACAATTTTCACCTCCATCTAGATAAAGGTTAAGAGTGCTACAAAAATACAGCATGTAAAACTGATTCAGCAAATATTTCAGAAACTGCATGTTTACTGTTTCAAACTCAGTGTACATAAATGTCAGTTCTTTTTGGATAAGATGAAATATTTAGGTCAGATAATTGATGAAAAATGAAGACCAGATCCTGCTAGAGCAAGTGCCATTAAAGACATGCTTCCCTCGACAAATTTGGTGACCCTTCAATCATTTGTCGGATTAGCAAATTATTATAATATGTGCCAGATATGTATAAATTGCAAGCATCTCTGAATAATTTACTTAACCTTTACCACACTAATTTCTTCCTAGAATTGTTCCCCCTGCCACTTTTTTTTTTTTTTTTTTTTTTTTTTTAGGGTGGAAAAACATGAACACTTACCTTTTTAAAATTGTTATAACTTTCTTTGTATTGTGCATATAGATTTTAATTTTTGTACACAAAAGAATGAATGAGTAATATTTTGATGTAATGCATTACATTTTACATGCATGTTTTGATGTTGAAAACCAAAATAATTGAAATGTGAAATAAAAAAAAACATAAATAATTCTACATACTTTAACTTTATTATTCCTGGTGGAGTTCTGGGGGTGCAATAAGAAGCAAAATTGCTAAGAAATGCTTTCATTTCGTCAGAAAAATAATGTGTTTCTTCATGAGAAGACACTAGCATTTGTTTGCTCTTTCCTTCACCTGACTCATATTTGTTTGTCTTGACGAATAAATTTATTATTTCATCATTTACAAATAGACAAAGTAATTCACCTTCAGATAGGCTATCAGATTTATTGATGGTTGCCAGTAGCTTCCATAAAATTAGTCAGGCCTGGATGATAGTAGGCACTAGTAGTCATCATCACTTTCATCCATGTCACTAGCATGGCTATCATCTTTGACCACTTCACCATCAATATCCACTCAAGTAAAGCCTTCAAAATCATCATCAGAGAAAAATTAAAGAAAAATTCCTGAATAAAGGTTTTGTTGGATATTTTGTTTACAAAAAATCAAAAAAAATTAATGTGGGTTTAATCAATGTTAACTTCATGTAGAGTCTAGAAGAATTCAAAATGGCATTGAAAAACAGAATTTTAGCCTTTTTTCCATAGCAGTAGAAGGCGATTTACAACTTAAAATACCGGAAATAACAGTTGACAACTGTTTATTTATAATAACTGTTTCATGGTGACAGAATGCAAAGGGAGAGAATTCTATGGCAACTATTGTCACCTGTAGTGTGGTAATGGTTAAGAATGGCATAAGATGGAATTGGTTGGTGGAAGGTTGAGAAGTTTTTGAAAGAATTAAAAAAAACTACTAACTTCAGATTTATTGCTGACACATTATGACCCACAGTGACAAATAATAGTAGTGTCGGATGCTAGTAAATATGGCATATAAGTGGTACTAGGCCATAAATTTGAAGACAGTACAGTGAAGGCAGTCACCCACGCTTCAAGAAGTTTGATAAATACGTAAAAATGCTACAGTCAAATTGAAAAGGAAGTACTTGTTATAATTTTTGCTGTAAAGAAATTTCATGGGATGATATTAGGAAGAAAATACTGCAAACTTTATTAAGTATATTTGGTTCTAAGAAAAGGATTCCTATGCATACTGCAAACAGACTACAACGTTGGTCTATGATTTTGTTGAACTATGATTTCAAGATGGAATTTCTATTGTCAAAAAAATTGAGACATGCAGATGGCTTGTCCAGATTGATAACAAAATGTAAAGATTTTGAAGATACTGTAATTGCTTCACTGGAATCCAAAAGTGAAATTAAGAGCCTGGTGTGTAACACTATTAAAGAACTGCCAATCATGTTAGATGATAACCAAAATTCATTCTAAAAAGGATACGTTTATTTAAAAACTATGAATGACATTAAGTCAAAATGGAGCAAAACTAAAATTAAACCTGGTAACAATGATACAGCATTTTCTATTTGTGAGGCAGTATATTTGTATGCAGAAAGAGTAGTAATTCCATTATTATTATAAAAAAGGATTTTGAAACAATTTCACATAGGACATCTGGGAATAGTGTGGATGAAGTCCCTGAATGGAAGCTATGTTTGTTGGACAAAGTTGGACAAAGATATTCAAAATACAGTTAGAAAATGTAATGGTTGTAATTCAGCAGAAAAATTACCACCTATAAATTATCAGGCATGGCCAAGCACTGATAAACCATGGACAAGATTACATATGGACTAAACAATTCATACTATTTAATTGTGGTTAACACTTTCACAAAATGGATTGGAATATTAAAGTGTAATTGACCTATTACTGCAATATTGATTAAATTCTTACACAAACTTTTCACAAGTTTTGGAGTACCTGACAGTGTGGTATCTAATAATGGAATTCAATTTGCTTCTCATGAGTTTAAAAATTTCTGAAAAAACTATGCAATTGAATATATGACAATGCCCATTTATTATCCAAGTTCAAATGGTCAAACTGAGTGGTTTGTTGGCACCTTCAAAAAGGCATTAAGAAAAGCTAAAGGCTTGGAAGCTGAAGAAACAGCACTACAAGAATTTTGGAGTGTATATCAAATGATGTCAAATACAAACGTCACTGCAAAAATGTCACCTGCAGAGCTCATGTTTGCTAGGAAAGTTAGATCCATTTTTGACAAATTACTGCCAGGGAATAAAAAGAAAAGTCAACAATTTGAAACTAGCAGATCATTTAAGATTGACAATAAAGTCTTTAAAAGTGATATGTCCTGGAAAGGGATATATGTGTTCGAAGTAGCAAAGTGGTTGTTGACTACTGTAACCAAGTAGGACACTCTAGCAGGTAACTGTAATGGACTGGTCCTCGTTGTAGTGGTAGGCAATATGCGTCCTCTTGTACCTCCACATCAGTCTGTATTTATGGCTGACACCAACCAATCATTACTGTGAGGGGGAACCCAGGTGTATGTATATTCATTACATCAAAAAGCATTAAAGTTGGAAAGGAAAATTGGTAGGAAGGAAAAATTATTCAACATCTTGATAGTATGATGTTCATTGTCAAAGGTGGATGATTTCAACATAGAAGACAAATCAATTGAGATCTAGATGTGCACAGAATAAGCCACCAGTACAATTTAATTCACTGAAGGAATGCTTTACGATACTTTTTTTTCCCTAAAACTAATATTACAATATGACATCGGGGTAAGTGAAAACATAATCCGACTGAAACATTGAAAGTGGACCCATGTTGGAAAAAGTATTGACTAAAGAAAGTGCTTATCTAAAAAGTGGGTGGTGGTGTGGAGATAAACACACTTCTCCAGAATATACTGAAACCAAGAATCATCAGGAGAGAGCTAGCTGGGAGCGAGCTTTATATTCTTACTACAGAATTCAGTAAGACTACATTAACTCCAAGTGACATATTTCATAATTCAATGGAATGAAGACATAACAAAATCTTAATCTAAGTGTAGAGAATCTGGTGATTAGGAGTTTGTCCAAGAAGACTTCAGTATTTCAATAGTATTTATGTGAAGATGACTGCTCAAAGAAATCAATTAGTAAAAACATTTGGTTATGAATCCATTTGTCTCAATAAGGCTTCAGTGAGTTAGAAATGTATTTGTTATGAAGTGTGCTTTCTTTCATATTTTATCAGTTCAATGGTATACATATTATTTTACATACCTCGAGCAGCTCTGCCCTTACTGCTTGGACATTTATATAGTCTGTCTTAAGGAGGCATGGTGGAGTAATGGATAGTGACTCAGTTTGAGGAATCAGAGAACCGAGTTCGAAATCCAGTCAAATTCATTATATTCACTTACATGCTAATACCCTTGGGAAAGGTATGAATCCTCTTCTTCACCCCCGAGCTATGGGTAAATAGCAGGACAGACTGGGTTCTCTATCCTTGGATGGCAACTGGTCTGCTGCAGAAAGAAATGGCAACCTACTGTGGGGAAAAAATCTGCCTCATCAGTCATGTATCAAAAGATACATGATCGCCTAAGCGTGTATCATGCATGGCACATAACTGACTGAGAGTATTAAATCAGGCATGTTTTTAAAGAACTTTTTTCAAGCTTATACATCTGTAATATTAATTTCTTTTTATGTGCAGACCCTTTATCAATGAGTCCACCCAAAGCACTGGAAACAATAGGAAACAATCTCCATAAACAGTATGACAGATGGCAGCCAAGGGCTCGATACAAGCAGTCTTTGGATCCTACTGGAGAAGAAGTAAAAAAGCTTTGTACTACCATGAGAAGAAACGCTAAGGTAATAAACTGTTTGGCTGCATTTGAATTTCCATCTTTTTTACTTTCTCATAAACTTCAGGTTGCTTGCTTTTGTTTTTATCATTAAATGTGCTAAATGTTCTTTCTTTGGCAGGATGAGCGTGTCCTCTTTCATTACAATGGTCATGGAGTACCAAAGCCTACATCAAATGGAGAAATTTGGGTTTTTAATAAGGTCAGTAACCTTTTTATAATGAAAATCTATCAAATAATTGATCATTCTTCTTATAATTTTTACCTGAAAGAAATGAAAATTAGGCAATCAGTCTGCTATTACCTTTTTATTTGCTAACATATCACTTGACTCATAAATTACTGCAAGTCTCTGAATCTGAATTTGCATCTCCATTTAGTTATTCCTTCTAATATCTTATTTTTAATTACATCAGTTAATTTTTGCTTCTGAAGAATTTTTTTAAAAAACTTAGTTTTAAATCTATAAATGGACACTTTGTAGAATATCATTGTATACAACTGTTACAAAACTATCAATATCAAAAGTAAACTTTTTAAATCATGATCTCAGAATTCTAAAAATTTGATTCAGTGATACGTTTGTCTTTATATTCATTTTTGCTTTTGTTCCTTATATACAGAATTATACCCAGTACATCCCACTGTCAATTTATGATCTTCAAAGTTGGATGGGAAGTCCCTCCATTTATGTATATGATTGTTCCAATGCTGGAGTCATTGTTGAGTCCTTTAAACAGTTTTCTGCTCAGCGAGAAGTGGAACGTGAGGTATAAATGTTTTATTATTCTAAGTTTTTTTTTCTTAACTTTTTGCTAAACATATTGCCATGTGACCAAAAAAATATATTTAAAAAATACATTATCAATAAATATATTGAAAATGAGTTTATAAAATTTAATGGTTTTATTCCTGCCTCAGTTTTCATATTAATTTCTTTTTCCATATAAAGAATCTGAAGCTTTGTTTACTTTGACAGAAGAGATACTTTTTATAATTATTTCCTTTAATGTTTTAATAAGGTCAATTAAGATTAAACAGGACCATTCTATGTAGAAATAATTTCTTTGTGAATAAGAAATGGTATACTTGAGATGGTAGATTTTTGAAACTTAGCTTTTTGCTTATTTGGAAATGAGTTGCTGTGGATAAGCTTTTCAATTTTGATTTATAAATTTTTTGAATACTGATATTTGCCTCTGTGTACAAGTTATTGTTTTTTAAAATACAAGTGTTATAATATCTGAAAGTTTCTTAATTTATTATTTGTGCAGTTTGAATGTTGCCTGATTCTAAAATGGAAATGCATTTTTCATGAAAACAAAACTGAGTCACTCTCACAAACTAAAAATATTCTTCAAAATATAAGACTTATACATTTGAAACAATAAAGTAACAGTGTATTAGTTTTTAACTACTTCAGTGACAACTAGATGAGAAATGATCCTAAAAATCTGACGGTATTAGTAAGCAAAATCTTCTCTCATGAGAACTTGAGTGTTTCACTTATCAATAAAAAAATTTAAAAAAATAGAAAATTTGAATCTCATATTTAAGCTTTCTGTATTATTTTTGTCCTGTAAAGAATAATTTTTAATTTACTTGCATTTTGGTACTGCATTGTTTCTTTTTATTCAGGCAATGATGAACACAAATGGTACTTCAGCAGGGACTGGTGGCTCATCAACTCCAACTTCTGGACGAGGGACTGCATCCACTCCTCTGTCCATGAGTAACTGTATTCAACTAGCGGCCTGCAGTAAGGATGAACTTTTGCCAATGAATCCTGAACTCCCTGCAGACTTATTTACCTCCTGCCTCACTACTCCTATCAAAATGGCTTTGAGATGGTGAGCTACATTTTAATCACTCACAAGTGACTGTTCTAGTTCTAAAAGCCAATGCAAGATTTTTTTTCTTTTTGATGTTATTGGTACTATATAGACACTACAAATATTACTAGCAAATGAATGATGAGTGGAGGAAAAGTGTTTGTTAGAGGTTTGAAATTTGTTTTCCATCTATAAGTCATGAGTCTCAGCCTGCGTGTTGCTTAAAGTAGTTGGATACTTTCTGCTAGTAGTTAGTGTTTGAACCCAGATAAAAACCAGCATTTCAAATGCTTATGTCCAAAGCAAGCGTGCTCTTCCCACTTAGAAGATTGGCAAAACACAATTTTCCTATCCTCATTTCTCTTTTTACTGAATTAAGACAGGCTTAGTAAATATCTCTAAATGATAAATCTCAACATTCAAGTACCTTGTTCTATTGTCTTTTATAATATTTATATACTTGTTGGATGAAATTAATATATGCTGGCTGCATGAAAAATGAAATATTGATGTTTGCAAGTAAAGGCACTACAACTACATATTTTAAACAAACCCTAACCCTATATAGAAGCCAGCTGCAGAAAATTGATTCTGGGAGGATTTTTGTTAGTATAAAATAATTAAAATTTTAAGATTAATATTTATTATCAAAATAAATATAATCTATGTAGTTGTTTAAAACTTGCATTATATGTAGTTGTATAACTGAAAAGTGCCCAAGTAAAATATCAATGATATTAAATAAAACCAAAGTTGTTTATTTTAAAATAAAATTGTATTTTGTCATATTGGTCAACTGCAGTTGATTCCAGAAGAGCATTATAAACCATAATATTCAAAATTAAAAGTGCAGGTTTAAGTTCAGTACTTCGCCTCAAGTAAGAAATTTTTATCCATAGTCATGTAAAGCTTTTGAGAAAGGGAAAAGGTGAGTTTGTTTGTAACTCTCTGAACAAAGGAATCAAACAAGAAATACAATTAAGTTTTGTTTTAATCCACATGATAAAATGTACTAACAACTAAACATGGTATAGAGAGATGAAAAAAAAAGTAAGTAAACCAATCAAACTGAAGATGAGATTGAAAAGTAAAGAATCTGTACAGTATTATCATCCACTTCATTCTAGAATGAATGACAAAAAAAAGAATCAGAAATATAAATTTGGGTACTTTTTAACAAGATACTGATTGGAAGAGACAATTAAAGAAATGATAAAATTTGTTAATAACTTTGGCATTAGACATAAAGGAGTCCATGAAAAGTTTCCAAGTTCAACCTACTCTTCCCAAAATCAGTGTTGCATTTTATAGATTGTTTACTCTGTTGTTTCTTAGTTTTGACATAAACAAAAATATTTTAGATGAAACAAATTTTTGCTTTGTTTGTTATAGGTATGTGTCCCAGGATTCTGGGAAACTTGTCTCTGGTGCCACTCAAGAGCTTGTTGACAAGTAAGTATATTATTATTTTTATTTTTTTTTTTTATCATAACAGTCTGCACTGGAGACTCAAGACAGGTTCTTTAGGAGCTGTTATTCCAGATTTAGATTACATTTTGAGAAAAAAATCAGAAATATTATAACATATGTTTTCTGCTCAATCATTTTTTACTTTCAAATATGGAATTCTTAGCATTATTATTTTTTTTTATTTCTGTGTATAGGATTCCAGGTCAATTGAACGATCGTCGGACTATGCTTGGAGAGTTGAATTGGATTTTTACTGCAATAACTGACACCATTGCATGGAATACTCTTCCAAGAGGTAAGAATTATATTAGTTGGAATGTGGAATTTTTGTGAAAGCTCTTCACATGGAAAGCCATATTATTAATTACATTGGAATAGTTAGCAGTGTCTATACCTTTTGTATTTTTTTGGTCTTCATGGATTATAATATTTAATGCTTTTAATTTAAAATTTAGCCAACTCTCTCTCTATGTCTATGATTTTAGTTTTAACAATTTTTTATGTCTTTGACATTAAAAACAATTTCCTGATCCACTTTACAATATGATGTTCATATCATAATTCTGTTTGTTCCTTTGTTAGTTAGCATGTACGTTAAGACCTGCCATTACCTCAGATAAATAATGGACTACTCCGTTTTGATTAGTAGGAAAGAATGAAGAAAAAGATATATCAGCGATGCTGTTTGGTTTTTAGAAAAAAAAAGGGGGGAACATAGAGGCAATAACACTCTTATACATTTAATGTCTGCTTCAGTGAAATGGAAAACCTTGTCAGTTTTTAATCTTTTCATTTGTACCCTCTTACTTCTTTAAATAATGACCTGTATTCATACTTATGATTATTATTGCAGTATTTTTTTAAGTTGTTAAGCTAAAATGTTTAAAGATGAAATTGCAATTTCCACAGACCAAGTCATGGAACTCACAAGGAGCTTATTTTGTCATTAAATTAAAAATTATGAATCATCAGAAAATTCAAATAGAAAACAATAAGATTTTCATGGGCACTATTAGTAATAAATATTGGACTATGCTAAAATGTTCCAGTTATTGAATATTAATGAAAAAGCCTACCTATGGCAATGGTGCTTTAATTTCACAGTCTTATCCCAGCATCTTTTTCACTTTTTAAAATAGTCTGCAAAGTCCTCTTTAAGGACTGCCTTGTCACATTCTCCTTTCCTTAATCTCAATATGAAATCTTCCTTTCAGTGATAACTTAGCTTGCGACAAAACCCAGAAGTTAAGATGGATTGACTCTGAACTGGTTTGGGTGGTATAACAGACTTTATTGTTTTGCCATAAAACCTTTCACAAGACATGAAGAATAGGCAGTTAAGATATTCAAAAAAGTTGGATGCTTTTCAGACAGTCCGTGGAATCTCTAGATTTTCTCTTTTCTTTGTTAAATGCTGATTTCTTTTGATTGCATCCCACAAGTATTTAACATTTTTGTATGTTCTGCTTGTTAAAGGATTTCCTGAATACGGATTACTTTTAATATATTTCTGGACAAGCTTGAATCTTCACTGAAAACCTTTTGAATAGTTTCTGTTGACAAATGTCTAAGTTTCAAACAAAGCTTGATGCATATTCATTGTGAATGTGATGGTCATACAATACGCAAGCTCAATGGCATCATACAGTAAGGTCTCCTTTGATTGGTTGTTAAGGTATATCAAGGCCATGCAATTGGTTCTGGAGATATTGTTAATCATTTTCAATTTCAGCCAAAAAACAAACAAAACATGCACACTAACATTTTATACTCTACACAATATAGTCTCAGAGTAATTTAGTTTATAAATCTTTACTTTATTTACATTACTTGGACTATTGTCTTCATCTTTGTTGCTATATTTATCACAACATTTCGGCCGTTGTATGCTCTGGTCTTCTTCAGGTGGTTGGAATGTCGAACTGAACCCTTTATTTTGCTCACTCTAGTAGACTGTTCTAGTTCCACTTGCCATGTTTAATGGATGTCAGTTATTAGTTATTTCCTGTTAATTTCCCTCTGAAAGTTCTCCACTGCCTTAGTCGGGTATTGAACTCACACTCTTTGGGTCCTGTCACTGGATCTAACCAACACCTTTATCCACAGTGGATAAACGTTGTGATAAATATGGCGATAAAGATGAGGACAATAGTCCGAATAATGTAAATAATGTACATAATACCTCATCTCAGAAATATAGACAAACTTTTACTTGTAAACTATCTGCCAAATAATATTTTGCATATTAAATATTACATCCTGTTAAGTATATCTTTTGTACTTTTGATATCAGTAACATTCAAAAATCTTTTTCCTTTTAATCCTTTTAGAACTGTTCCAAAAGCTATTCAGACAGGATTTGCTTGTTGCTAGTTTATTTCGCAACTTTCTGCTGGCAGAAAGGATCATGCGATCTTATAACTGCACACCTGTGTCTAGTCCTCCTCTACCTCCAACTTATCAACATAGAATGTGGTAAGTCACTTTTACAGCATGTCTTTCGGGTCATTTTCATTTTGGGGAGGATCATTTAACATGTATTCACTATAATCTTCTATATTTTTTATGAATATTAATAATTAAAAACTAATTTTCAGAATTTCAAATTGTTTTTTTTTTTGTTTGTTTTTAATTTTTACAGATTTAAACAAAATTAATAAGGAATACTTTGCTGTTCTGTTATGTAATTATAATCTTAAAGCCATTAAATTAAATATAATTAGTAAACTCCTCCAAATTAAAATTTCCCCCATGCTCTGTATTGCCAGATATTGACATAAAATATAGCAATGTATGTTTTATTTACAAAAAATTTTTTTTATTACAGTTATTAATTCTTTATTCCCTTTTCTATCTAGGGCTGCTTGGGATTTTGCACTTGATATGTGTTTGCGGCAACTACCTACTGTAGCAGTGGTAGACAGTGATGGCACTATGTTTGATCACAGCACTTTCTTTGCACAGCAGCTGACTGCATTCCAAGTTTGGCTTACTTACGGTTCTGAAATTAGAAGTCCACCTGAACAGTTACCAATTGTTTTACAGGTAAGCATCTACTGATCAAAGAATTGGTCAGAAACAAAAGTGCTCATCCTTTTATACATATGTATGTGTGTATGTATAATATATATAACTTTAACATAAATATGAAATAACTTACAATTTACTTATCTCAACAATGTCTAATACTCTCATTTTCTGATAATGTGTCTGGTTTTTCATAATGTGTCTGGTTTGTTTTCATCAAAGAACTGAAAGGAGTGTGTATATAGGAAGGCAGTCAAAAAATTTTGGAGCAGCACCAATTTAAAATTGACAGCAAAATAGTTACTTTTGAGACAATTTTCTTTGACATGTTATATATAAGGGAGATAATACTTTTATAAACTTTTTGAGGACAAATATTGTCATTTTTCTAGTATATAGCTAAAATGCAACGTTTTCTGATAAATACCATAAGTGATAAATTTTTGTGAATTCTGTTTACATTTTATTTCTGTTCCAGGTTTTACTTAGTCAAGTCCATCGAGTAAGAGCACTGGAACTTTTAGGCAGATTTTTGGATTTGGGCCCTTGGGCTGTTAGTTTGGTAAGTTAATTATCTTTTTAAAAGAATAATTATTTTTTTTAGTATAATAGTACTTTCCAGCACATCATTAATGTATTTTTGTAATAATTTAAACATTTCAATCTGTGTATCTAATAATATTTTATTAAATGCATTTGGATTGTTACTACTTGTATTTGGCCATGAATATTTATAAGAATAATTTGTAACTTATTCAGAAAAGCTGCACAAAATATAAGTGAATATTTTTATCTATCATATATTCTAAAGTATTTGTATGTTAGTGAAAGAAAGCAAGATTGAAATTTTATTAAATTGCTTTTTGAACATTAGCTGCTTATGATTTAATTTTATTTATTGATTTCTTTTTCAGGCATTGTCTGTTGGCATTTTTCCTTATGTGTTAAAGTTGTTGCAGAGCTCTGCACGTGACCTCAGACCTTTGCTTGTATTTATCTGGTCAAAGATTTTAGCTGTTGATAGTGTAAGTATATTTTATGATGAATAATACTTAATCCTTGCATCAGAAGTCTGTAATAGTGTTTTAAAGTTATATTTTGGCTTTATTGGTGATTATGAAGAACTAAAATCAGTACCAATGTAATAGGCTATTTTGTCCTAAATAGAAGACTAGAAACTTAGCATAGTACCTGTCAAAAATGATAGTGTTGTTTATGTATGAGCAGGCACTTCTGAGCAGAGTATCTCTGCCTAGGAAGAAAGTGTTGTTCTGTAGCCCTCTGCTTAGGTCCAGTGTAGCCTTTGTGCAAAGTGTTGTATGTAAAATCTGCTTACCAACTACTTTGTGGCCTTTTGTTTTACTTTTTGAAAAACTGTTTACTTAAATTTTTCTGTTTTGTATTGTTGCCAAAGAAGAAAAAGTAAGGGTATATTCTACAAGTTTTTTCTTTCTTTATTTTATTGTAAGCTGTTTCTTTTACAATTTAAAAAAGGATTGATGACCTTTACAATAACAGTTTTTCTCAATAACAAATTTATTTCAGCATAGAATTCCAACTTTTGCATATCTGTTTATTCTTAGCTACAGTCTTCAAAAATCTAGATATTTCTGTCAGACACAAAATGTGATTCTGAAAAACTTTATATTGGTGGCATCTTTTGTTTTGCCAATGGAGTTGGAAATTTAGGAACAAATATTGAAGAGTTTATTTAGTAGAATACATTGACCAAATTTCTGTAGATTTTAGTCATAGAAAGGTTTGCTGGTAACTAATAAGACTGACTTAAATTACAACAATATATGAGTCAGTTGACAAGAACTATGAAGTATCTGTAATGAAAAATTTAGAAATGGCTAATCACAGATAATGACTACTAGTCTGAAGTGTGCAAACATAAGCAAAACATCTCAAGATGACAGTCAATTTCTCATGTTGAGAGAAAAATAAATTTGTAATGAATGCAAGATAAAGTTTGATAAATTTCCTCTTAATTTTTACCATTCTATTTTTGCTCCAAGATAGATATAAAAATATCATTTTTAAAGTCAGTATATTTATTTATAGAATTTGAACATATTGCAATTATTGCCAGTCTTTTATAATATCTTAAAAGTAATATTCAATCTTATTTGCAGACAATGTAAAATATTTTTAATATTTATAATTTACATATATTTTTCTTTAAAATTTTGTTTACTTCTGGAAGTTCATAACCTTAAAAGAAAATCTTTCCGTAAAATCCAAGTAGATGTTTTAATGTTATTTAAAAGAAAATTTCACTTAATCTATATTTACAGTAAAATTATTCAATGTAAATGTAATATTTCATATTTTAAATAAAGCTTTTAACATTTTTAATGATAGTTTCAACAGTAAACATAGTTTTAAATTATAATTTCTAAAAAAACAAAATCAATATTTTTATTCTAAATGAAATTGTCGGTATCCAAATTCTCCAAGTTTAAATCAAGTTGTATATGATTCTTTTATTTCCTGATTGATATTTTCAAGTATAGGTATTTATAAACATATGCTGTTGAAATATTTCATTTCAGTTATTTTCTAACATGTATCTTTTTAAGAAGGTATGAAAAAAAATGACTAATGAAGTAGTGTGGAACCAATCTCTTCTGATATTTGATCAAAAACTCTGAAATCTCTTCCTTTTTTTTTTTTAACTCTATTTGATGATTGCCAACCATGCTCTTCTGATATTTGGTGATTGCCAACCAATCTCTTCTGATATTTGATGATTGCCAACCATGCTCTTTTGATGATTGCCAACCATGCTCTTCTGATTTTGATATTGCTCTTCTGATATTTGGTGATGCCCACCATGCTCTTCTAATAACAGACATGCTCTTCTGATATTTGGTGATTGCCAACCATTGCCAACCATGCTCTTCTGATATTTGGTGATTGCCAACCATGCTCTTCTAATATTTGATGATTGGCAGACCATGCTCTTCTGATATTTGGTGATTGCCACCCAACCAATCTCTTCTGATTCTGCAACCAAGCTCTTCTGATATTTGGTGATTGCTCTTCCAACCAATCTCTTCTGATATTTGGTGATTGCCAACCATGCTCTTCTGATATTTGGTGATTGCCAACCATGCTCTTCTGATATTTGGTGATTGCCCCAACCTGATATTTGATGATTGGCAGCCAAGCACTTCTGATATTTCGATTGGCAACCAATCTCTGATGATTTGATTGCCAACAATGCTCTTTTGATATTTGGTGATTGCCAACCATGCTCTTCTGATATTTGCCCACCATGCTCTTTGATATTTGATGCAAGCTTACTGATATTTGGCGATTGGCAACCAAGCTCTTCTGATATTTGGCGATTGGCAACCAAGCTCTTCTGATATTTATTTGCTCTTCTGATATTTGGCGATTGCCAACCATGCTCTTCTGATATTTGGCGATTGCCACCATGCTCTTCTGATATTTGATGATTGGCAACCAAGCTCTTCTGATATTTGGCGATTGGCAACCAAGCTCTTCTGATATTTGATTGATTTCTGATAATTGCCAACCATCTCTTCTGATATTTGGTGATTGCCAACCAATCTCTTCTGATATTTGATGATTGGCAGCCAAGCACTTCTGATATTTGGCGATTGGCAACCAATCTCTTCTGATATTTGATGATTGCCAACCATGCTCTTTTGATATTTGGTGATTGCCAACCATGCTCTTCTGATATTTGGTGATTGCCCACAATGCTCTTCTGATATTTGATGATTGGCAGCCAAACTCCTGATATTTGCGATTGGCAACCAAGCTCTTCTGATATTTGGTGATTGGCAACCAAGCTCTTCTGATATTTGATGATTGCTTCTTATATTTGATGATTGGCAACCAAGATATACGGATATTTGGTGATAGCCAACCATGCTCTTCTGATATTTGGTGATTGACAACCAATCTCTTCTGATATTTGATGATTGCCAACCATGTTCTTCTGATATTTGGTGATTGCCAACCAATCTCTTCTGATATTTGATGATTGCCAACCATGCTCTTTTGATATTTCTGATTACCAAAGCTCTTTGGCAACCAAGCTCTTCTGATATTTGGCGATTGCAGCCAAGCTCTTCTGATATTTGGCGATTGGCAACCAAGCTCTTCTGATATTTGGCGATTGCCAACCATGCTCTTCTGATATTTGGCAACCAACCATGCTCTTCTGATATTTGGTGATTGCCAACCATGCTCTTCTGATATTTGATGATTGCCCACCAAGCTCTTCTGATATTTGGCGATTGGCAACCAAGCTCTTCTGATATTTGGCGATTGGCAACCAAGCTCTTCTGATATTTGGCGATTGGCAACCAAGCTCTTCTGATATTTGATTCAAGATATACTGATATTTGGTGATTGCCAACCAAGCTCTTCTGATATTTGATGATTGCCAACCATGCTTTTCTGATATTTGGCAATTGGCAACCAAGATATACTGATATTTGGTGATTGCCAACCAAGCTCTTCTGATATTTGATGATTGCCAACCAATTGCTTCTGATATTTGGTGATTGCCAACCAATCGCTTCTGATATTTGGTGATTGCCAACCAATCTCTTCTGATATTTGATGATTGCCAACCAAGCTCTTCTGATATTTGGCAACCAAGCTCTTCTGATATTAGATGATTGCCAACCAATCTCTTCTGATATTTGGTGATTGCCAACCATGCTCTTTTGATATTTGGTGATTGCCAACCATGCTCTTCTGATATTTGGTGATTGCCAACCATGCTCTTCTGATATTTGGTGATTGCCCACCATGCTCTTCTAATATTTGATGATTGGCAGACAAGCTCTTCTGATATTTGGTGATTGCCAACCAATCTCTTCTGATATTTGGTGATTGCCAACCAATCTCTTCTGATATTTGGTGATTGCCAACCATGCTCTTCTGATATTTGGTGATTGCCAACCATGCTCTTCTGATATTTGGTGATTGCCCACCATGCTCTTCTGATATTTGGTGATTGCCCACCATGCTCTTCTGATATTTGATGATTGGCAACCAAGCTCTTCTGATATTTGGCGATTGGCAACCAAGCTCTTCTGATATTTGGCGATTGGCAACCAAGCTCTTCTGATATTTGGCGATTGGCAACCAAGCTCTTCTGATATTTGGTGATTGCCAACCATGCTCTTCTGATATTTGGTGATTGCCAACCAATCTCTTCTGATATTTGATGATTGGCAGCCAAGCACTTCTGATATTTGGCGATTGGCAACCAATCTCTTCTGATATTTGATGATTGCCAACAATGCTCTTTTGATATTTGGTGATTGCCAACCATGCTCTTCTGATATTTGGTGATTGCCCACCATGCTCTTCTGATATTTGATGATTGGCAGCCAAGCTACTGATATTTGGCGATTGGCAACCAAGCTCTTCTGATATTTGGCGATTGGCAACCAAGCTCTTCTGATATTTGGCGATTGGCAACCAAGCTCTTCTGATATTTGGCGATTGCCAACCATGCTCTTCTGATATTTGGCGATTGCCCACCATGCTCTTCTGATATTTGATGATTGGCAACCAAGCTCTTCTGATATTTGGCGATTGGCAACAGCTCTTCTGATATTTGGCGATTCAAGCTCTTCTGATATTTTGATTGCCAACCATGCTCTTCTGATATTTGGTGATTGCCAACCTCTTCTGATATTTGATGATTGGCAGCCAAGCACTTCTGATATTTGGCGATTGGCAACCAATCTCTTCTGATATTTGATGATTGCCAACCATGCTCTTTTGATATTTGGTGATTGCCAACCATGCTCTTCTGATATTTGGTGATTGCCCACCATGCTCTTCTGATATTTGATGATTGGCAGCCAAACTCCTGATATTTGGCGATTGGCAACCAAGCTCTTCTGATATTTGGTGATTGGCAACCAAGCTCTTCTGATATTTGATGATTGCCAACCAATCGCTTCTTATATTTGATGATTGGCAACCAAGATATACGGATATTTGGTGATAGCCAACCATGCTCTTCTGATATTTGGTGATTGACAACCAATCTCTTCTGATATTTGATGATTGCCAACCATGTTCTTCTGATATTTGGTGATTGCCAACCAATCTCTTCTGATATTTGATGATTGCCAACCATGCTCTTTTGATATTTGGCGATTGGCAACCAAGCTCTTCTGATATTTGGCGATTGGCAACCAAGCTCTTCTGATATTTGGCGATTGGCAACCAAGCTCTTCTGATATTTGGCGATTGCCAACCATGCTCTTCTGATATTTGGCAATTGCCAACCATGCTCTTCGGATATTTGGTGATTGCCCACCATGCTCTTCTGATATTTGATGATTGCCCACCAAGCTCTTCTGATATTTGGCGATTGGCAACCAAGCTCTTCTGATATTTGGCGATTGGCAACCAAGCTCTTCTGATATTTGGCGATTGGCAACCAAGCTCTTCTGATATTTGATGACTGCCAACCAAGATATACTGATATTTGGTGATTGCCAACCAAGCTCTTCTGATATTTGATGATTGCCAACCATGCTCTTCTGATATTTGGCAATTGGCAACCAAGATATACTGATATTTGGTGATTGCCAACCAAGCTCTTCTGATATTTGATGATTGCCAACCAATTGCTTCTGATATTTGGTGATTGCCAACCAATCGCTTCTGATATTTGGTGATTGCCAACCAATCTCTTCTGATATTTGATGATTGCCAACCAAGCTCTTCTGATATTTGGGCATTGGCAACTTCTGATATTAGATGATTGCCAACCAATCTCTTCTGATATTTGGTGATTGCCAACCAATCTCTTCTGATATTTGGTGATTGCCAACCAATCTCTTCTGATATTTGGTGATTGCCAACCAATCTCTTCTGATATTTGGTGATTGCCAACCATGCTCTTCTGATATTTGGCAATTGGCAACCAAGATATACTGATATTTGGCGATTGGCAACCAAGCTCTTCTGATATTTGGCTATTGGCAACCAAGCTCTTCTGATATTTGATGATTGCCAACCAAACTTCTTATATATTTGATGATTGGCAACCAAGATATACTGATATTTGGTGATTGCCATCCAAGCTCTTCTGATATTTGATGATTGCCAACCATGCTCTTCTGATATTTGGTGATTGCCAACCAATCTCTTCTGATATTTGATGATTGCCAACCATGCTCTTCTGATATTTGGTGATTGGCAACCAAGCTCTTCTGATATTTGGCGATTGGCAACCAAGCTCTTCTGATATTTGGCGATTGCCAACCAATCTCTTCTTATATTTGATGATTGACAACCAAGATATACTGATATTTGGTGATTGCCAACCAAGCTCTTCTGATATTTGATGATTGCCAACCAAGCTCTTCTGATATTTGATGATTGCCAACCATGCTCTTCTGATATTTGGTGTATTGCCCACCATGCTCTTCTGATATTTGGTGATGAGCAACCATGCTCTTCTGATATTTGATGATTGTGTCAGATTTTGGGAAGTACATCAGACTGAGAGCTTTTCAGCATCTTTTTGTAATCTAGATGTAGTTCCATAATGCAGATATACATAAAAACTACACTATAACATGTCAGGAATTTGAATGTTTAGTGATATTGTCTGCTGATATTTTTGTTGGGAATTTCTTTTTCAAAAACTCTGAAATCTCTTCCTATTTTTTTTTTTAACTCTAGTCTTGTCAGACTGATTTGGTGAAAGACAATGGTCACAAGTATTTTCTATCTGTTTTGAGTGATCAGAATATGACTGTAAGTATAGTTTGTTTTTATTTATTTATATAACATAATTTTAAGAATTTACTACTATTTGATATTTAGATTAAAAATGCTATCCATTTTTTTCTATTGATTTTTCAGATAAAAATTAAAGCACAAATTGTCATATTATGAATAACTAACAAAATAAAATTGTTTGTGTCTGTGCATATATTTGTAAGTATATATGCATAAATGATATTTAAATATTTTTATAAGAAACTAAAGATTTTTTTTCTGAAGAGCAAATCCAATAGTGGCCTTATACTGGAACCATACTGTCTTTCAAACAATTTACTTGTTGACACTTCTTGCTATTTTTAATTTTTGCATTTTATGCTAAACAAAATCAGTAGCAGTGATTAGGTGCTTGTCAAGGTTTGTAAATCACTTTTACAAGGTATTGACATGTTTATTGTTCTACAGAGACTTTATCTGTTAAAACATGATTTAAGAAAATGATGTAATCTTAAAAATGTTGGAAATATTCTCCGTAATCTAAATTTTGGAATGTTGACTTTCAATTTAATATGGTCATTGATCTTATTTTCTGTTAATATTGTGTATAGTCACCCATATTTTAAAAATGGGAATGTTTATATACATTAAAAAAAAATTTTAAATTATTTTGAAAATCTTGGTGTGCGATGATTTGTATTAAGCGTTTCAATTTTAGCTTAGTAAATATAGTCTTCACTTAATAACTTAATAACTCCTTAGTGCTCTTTTTGTATTCTCATGAGATCCTTTTTAGGTCAAATGTAAATTATTCCAGTTCGTTTTCAGTAGAAGTAGACACAATTACAGGTTCCAATGCAGGAAGATTACTATGAAATATAACTTCAACAGTTGGTTTAAAACCAACTGATATGGGAAAAATCTGCCTTTGTTGATAAGAACATTCAAGCAGAAACAGCTAAAACCAGAGGTACCTTTAAATTACACTGATTATCTTTAAAGATCTTCTTTACCAAATTACCAATAACTACATTAAGTCTTTTCTCTAAAGACTGTATACTGCTGTGATCATTACCTTCACATTAAAACGTTACTCAGTTCCCACATCCCATTGTTAGAAATAATTTTCTTTATTACCAGAAATCATGATCCAACAAGAAAAAAAGAAACTTTAATAATAGTAGAAGCTAATTTTTTATTAATGTTGCACAAAAATGAGTTACATGATCTATAATCACAATAAAAATTTTTTTTGATATTTTATCATCCAGAATTACAGTTTTAGTAAATTTAGTAACTATAGAAAGACTGGCCACAGGTACAGTAAGTTCATTTTTCTCTAAATTTAATGTAAGCTTATCACTCTCTCTCTCTCTCCCCCCTCCCCGATACAGAATTAATTTTATGCTCATGTTTGTAATTGTTAATACTTTCATTATAAATCAATAAGCTTTTCTGGATTATAGTGACCAAACTATTTATATGGTTTATTGGCTTTTTTCAGATGATCATTGTTTTTAGAGGGCAATATAATTAAATAACTGAAATTCTTCTTTAGTTATAAATAGTAAGATAAGAAATATGATTAGAATAAGTAAGCAATAATAATAAATAGATTATAGTTTAATCATTTTCTCCCTAAAAGTTTAATTATCATTCACAAAATTCAAAATCATTTTCCCTTCCTTCATAGATTTTTTAAAAGTAATGTTACATTTGACATCATTAATTGTATTAGCTCTCATATCTCTAATCAAACAAGCAAGTTTCAAAGGTGAATGTTGAAGCAATAGCCAGTTTCCTAATTAAAGATTACTCATAAACCATTTAAATAATCTTGAAACCATCACTTATTCAAAATAGTGCATCTTTTTGTATCTTGTACCAAAGAATGCAATTTTGTGTTAAACAGAAATGGGATATTTTCTGGTGTATCCTCTCTATCCAGAGCTTGTTCATTGTTATATGTGGACACATTTATAGGCCTTGAGCCACAGATAATTCACTTTGATATTATGACCTACAGAGTTCAGTGTACAACCCTGTGATAGCACTGAAGATTGACAATGAAACACAAATAATCTTACTTTGATTAGTTTAGCCAGAAGACCACCAGCTGCATTGGAATATAGATGTTCATGTGAACATTGATTCCTATATGCATGTTAGCCTTCATCTGATGGCCAAATGCAGGTTCAACTTTCACCTCAGGTGTATGTGAGTAGGTTGCGGCTGGCAACACATGATGCTCCACTCTGATCAAAAAGATTATGTCCAAATAATCTAAAGTAGACTTTAAATTAATGTAGGCTTCATATTTTCATGTCACAATTCAACAGCTGATATTACAAGATGAGTGTTCCTTCCAGGAAGCTTATTTTACTGCTAATAACATAAAGTCCATAACAGAGTCAAGGAAATAAGTATTTTCTTATGGAGACCTGATAATACATGTGTTTAAACTCACCAAAAATCTCACTAATGAGTTGTGAATAAACAATAACAAAAAAAAAGAAAAGAACAGAGCAAAAATAATATGAGGCAAACAAATATATATATATATATATATATATATATATATATGTGTGTGTGTGTGTACAAGGCAAAAATAGGTAAAGCAACAGTAATAAGGCAAAAAATTCATAAAGTAAGAATGGTGTAAAACACAAAATGGGTACAAACAAGTGATCACAGCATTCTAATTTCAAGAAGAAAAATATGGTGGATGAGACTGAAAAATGTGGCCAATCTTATTGGCTAGAAAGAAATCCTAGCATGTATCTGTGATTTGTTTAGAAATTTGAGGAGGGGGAAAGTTTTTGTAGTCATTCCCATAGCCATTGAAACTAACAGTTATACTATTGGGTTAATACAAATTGTACAGATTGTAAGAAAATAGTAAACTGTTTTCAGCCTTTATCAGAAAGAAACAATAGTTTCTTTCTTCAAACCAGTAACATAAATTTCAAATGGTGCAGCTCTAGCTTTGCTACTTAAAGATTGGTGAATTGTCAATGTCCTTTTGTTTATTGACAATTGGATAAGTTTGTGTCAAATGTCAATATCATGCTTCCAATTCTTATTGCTGTTCTCACCCATAAGTTTAGGAAGCCATTTGTATGAGCAAATAGTATTTACCTCAGTCTGTTTCATAACTACACTTTACCAGTATTAAATATTTTTTTATCAGGCCATCAATTAAAGTAGATCCTGATTTCTCCATCTCCTTCACTAACATAAGGGGTCTGTGGTTCAACAATCCAGAGATTGAACTACAGGTTCATACCGAAACTGGACTCAGCCAGTCTATTCCAATTTATGACTTCCCGATCAGGGTCTACTGGCACCTATTCACAAAAGATGACCTTCTAAATAGACATGGCCACAGGTTTGAGGCCGATATCAAGGATGAGTTTCCCTTTCTGCAGAGACTCTAAAATCAAGGATCCTAACTTCCCATTCATGTGCTTATGAGTGGCCCTCATTCATAGCAGGTCCTTTGTCTTCACTATTTATCACCCTCAGGATGATGGTATTGCAATAATTGGCAGAATAGCAGAAAAGATTGATAACTTCCTTTCTGTTCATCCCTCAGCTACCTTTCACATTATGTAGCAATTTCAGCATTCACCACAAGGTGTGGCTCATCCACTCAAAAAGAACTGATGAAAAAGGGAAATATTTTTATTTCTCCATAGCTTACAAACTGACCCAGATTGTAGACAAGCCTACTCATGCTCCCAGTCCTGAAAGTGCTGTGGCCTTGGCCCACCATAATCACTACTACCATCTCTATCAGAGGAAATGGTGTCGCAGAATCCTTGTCTCATTCAGAACTGTACACAATCAGTGCAAAAGTCCCAGAAAATGCAAAAAGAAGCTATGTGCAGGCAGTCCAAGCCAAAGTAGAAAACAAAAACTTGGATCCTGCCAATTCTAAAAAATCACAAGTGCAACAAGAAATAGAGACAGACCATCAGTGCCCTCCATTATAAATTAACCTGAGGTTATCTCATCCTTGTCAGATAAAGCTAAGCTCTTTGCTTTGAACTTTGCTTCCAACTCTAGGTTAAATGACAATGACCATTTCTTACCTAACTTCCCCATTTCATAAAGCACAAGCTTTGTGATATCACTATATTGGCTCTGGAAGTTTCCACACTTATCAAAAGTCTTGACTCTACAAAGGCTACTGGTCTGGACAAAATTCCTGTAGTTGTCCTCAAATATCTTGGCCCAGAATTGTCTCCAATTTTGGTAAAGCTGTTTAGCCATTGCCTTAAGAAAAGATGTTTCCCAAGCCCATGGGAAGTATCTAATGCATGTCCTGTGTATAAGAATGGAGATAAGCCCTTGTCCCCATCACAATATCACCCCATCAGCCTCCTTAGTGTCATTAGTAAACTTTTGAAGCTATTGTCAACAAGAAAGTTGTTGAACACCTCCACAAAAACAAACTTCTGTGTGACAAACAGTATGGTTTTTGCCCTTCAAGGCCCACTGCTGATGTCTTAGCTATTATCATGCAGCAAACTGCTTGATAATAAAAACATCTCGAGTGATTGCTCTAGACATCTTGAAGGCATTTGACAAGGTGTCCACAATCTTGTCAACTATGGAATCTCTGGGAGAGTCCTCTCAATCAAGTCCTTCCTGTCCTATGAAGGTTGTCATTAATGCTCAGTCCTCCAAGGTACATGAGATCAATGCTGATTTCTCTTTGGCCCTACCCTCTTTCTGTTTTATATTAACAATCTGCCTTAGAACATTATCAGATCATTAGTAAATATACATGCATATGACCTCATACTGTATGGGTGCACCTCTAAATATCTGAATGACCAGTACTTGGCAGCTGAACTCTTCTCTGACTTAACTCTCACAGCTCAATGGGAGAAATACTGGCTGATATCATTCAATACCTCCAAAACAAAGCTAGTAACATTTCATCATCACCGAGCAGACTGAACCTACACCAATCTTGATACCCTCAAAGAGATTCTTTGCTCTGAATGCCTACCGAGTCTAAAACTCATTCTTGACTTCAAATGGAAAGCATAGATTTATGTCACTGCAAAAGATGTTGGTAGAATGGCTGGTTCTTTGAATCACTCCGGAAAATACCTAACTTCTGCTGCCATGCTCTATCTTTACAAGAGTCAGGTCAGACCAAGAATGGAGTATTGCTGCTATATATGAGCTGGTGCTGCCTAGTCCCCATTGTCCAACCTCAAAATAGTCCAAAAGCAATTATACAGCTTAGTGGGTCCACCCTTCAACTCTTATCCTACAGACAAAATCTTGCTAGCCTCTCACTACTCTATTGCTATTACTATGGCAGATGTTCAAACAAGTTACATTCTTTAGTTCCACCAACTCAAACCTTCACAGCCAAGACTTGCCATGCCATGTTCACCAAGGCAAATTATCCCCAAGCCCTTCATATTCCTTTGATAAGTACCAAATTCCACTTGGACAGCTTCTACCCTAGAATTGTTACTTTGTGAAACAAACTCCTGAGATGTTTCCCTGACAACTACAGTCTTGGTCTGTTCAAGTCTAGGGTCAACTGATATCCTACACATCCTTATAATATGCTCTTCTTACTCCTCCCCCCTTCCCACTTCCTGACAGTAATCTTGATCAGTGACTCTCTACCATGAGTGGCCCGTGGGCCTTGTATTGGGTGAACTAAAGTGTGAATAATATAAAAATAATCCTCTATAGGTGCCCCTTATGGCCACCTGGGACAATTCTGTTCTAAACAATTTATGTATTAAATCACAAATATTTTCTGTTTTGAGTGACCAGCATATGACTGTAAATATAGGTTTTATATTTTTTTTAGAATTCATTACTATTTTTATTTTTTTCAGAATATGAATAAAACGCAAATTGTCATATTTACAATCATGTTTATAAATAATGATTAACTATCAAAATTTTGTATAAATATATATATATATATATATATATATATATATATATATATATATATATTTGTATGTATATTTTAGAAGCTGAAATGTTCCCAGCCCAACTGACTTCCCAAAATCTGAACTAATGACCAAATATACATTTATCTACTTCTTTTTTTTCTTTTTTTCAAATCTATTCTTGGTTGGGCTCCTTATAGATGCACATGAATGATGCTTAAATGTTTTCATGTGATTCTAAGGAACAGTTTTTAAAGTTACTGCTTTTGAAATTTTCACTTGTAAGTAAAAAAAAAAAATAAAGGAGCAATTAACATTTTTATATCATTGTAATAAATCAGGTTGTCAGTTGTAGACATGTCTTGATTCAAGAAAACTTTATTGGGTCAAGAGCATTTTTCTCTATTCTCTTTGTACACATATGTGATTTTATGTGTTTAGTTCTTGAGTCAAATTATGATTAAAATATAACTAAATATTTAATTTGTATGAAGTATTTCCCTATGAAATTGCAAATGCCTAGTGGATATAACTTATTACTGTGTGCACCAGAGAGAGAGAGAGACTGACTCTTCCATCCAGGTATAGAAAAACAGTCTTTAATGCTGACACCCAATCTTATTTTTGTAAATTCTGCACAATACAATTTGTGCAATACAATAAAGTGCATATTAATAAAATCCTGTCAAATATCCAGGTTATATTTTTATGGATTTTTTTCCTCTGTAAACTTATCTTGATTTTCTAGGTTTTCTTCTAAGTTTTCTTTTGATGACAATATTTACTGCTTATCTTTTTCTTTTTTGTATGTGTCTGTGTTTACTTGTATGATCTGTATAAATTTGTAAAAATATGTGATGTATTTTTATTGTTTTTAGTCGGAGCATCGTACCATGGCAGCTTTCATCTTGGCCATGATTGTGAATAATTACCCCCAGGGACAGGTAAGTTATGTCTTACACGTATTTCAAATAACACAACTTTATTCCTTTATTTTAAAATTCTATAGAATTTGTTCATGCCTGTTCCATTAAAAAAAAAATGTGAAGGGCCACATTGATTGCAAAAGATTAGTCACAGGCTGCAAGAGTAAATTAATGGGTATGAGTGAAATAAAAACAGATTTATACAGAGAGGGATTGCAAGAACATTCTGTCCTTTTCTAGGGAGAGTTAAGAGGATTATTAATTGAATCCAAAGACAGTGAAATATTGATTGAATTATGTCATGCTTGAATAACACTGATTTTTTTTTTTCGTACACAATCAGTCACGGAATTTATTCTCATGAACATGAAAAAAAAAAAATGATTATTTTGAAAACTATTCATGGGCCACACTAGGTAGTCTTGCAGGCTGCATGCTGTCTTTTGGTTGCTTTTTTTTCTGCAGACCTGGCTGAGTTTAATGATTCAGGAAGATTTAAGTTGAAATTCTCACATTTTTGATTAACCAGACTAAATGGAAGTGTTTACTGGTGCTCTTTTCTTCTTCCTTTGATATTCTGCTACATATTTCTGATTTAAGAAATATCTGTAAATTTCAGTTGGAACATATGAAGTTGACCATCTAAAGTTTAATCAGCAGAAACTGGCAAATGCATGATAATGATGCATTTATCTAATTAAGTGATAATCATCATTTGATGATTGATATTTCAACTTATCATTGAGAAAAATAGCTTACCTTAGTAATTGGAAAGTATTTTCAAATGTTTGGAATTTATTTTTGTTATGAACCTCCAAAATTGTTAAAATGTTTTGTCAAAGAAATCAAAAAGAAAAATCTGGTTTACATTGTTGGACAATGAGCAGTGAATGTACAAAATTCCCAACATTATTTTTTTTTTTTTTTCATGAATTGTAACAATGTGATTCAAGTTGTCCAATACATATTTAATACAAAATGATTTGTTTTTATAATTTTAAAAGCTTGTTCCTCAATCTTTCTATAAGTTTTTTTTTTTTTTTTGATAATGCAAAGTTTGCCAGTTAACTGTTCAGAGAGTTATAGTAATATTTTCTTAGCATATCTCTTTAGTCTTTACCAGTAAGTCAATAATTAGTTTTCAGATTTGCTCCCATCAATGCCTATGTAAAAAACGAAAAAAAAACATGCTAAATTTTAAATAAACAATTGTTAAAAAAAACAATGAAATGAAGTAAAATATCATTATATTTATAGCTTAACTGAAAAACACTTTTGCATGGTTTTGACATTAAATGACTCAAAAAGTACTACTTTAATATCTCGATGAAACCTTTCACAGGGTCTACAGCCATATAGCATTAAAACATTGGTTTCCCCATGATCACTGAAGTTAAGCTTGGTCACTACCTAGATGGGTGACCACTTAAGAATACCAGGTACTGTAAGCTTTGATATGTTGGTGGTGTAATGAATAATGGCTCAGAATTGTTAATCGGAAAGCTGAGTTCCAATTTCAGTTGGGTTTCTTTATATTCATTTACATGCAAATACGCTTGGGAAAAGTATGAATCCACCTTTTCTCCTCCCCAGCTATGGTTTAATTAGTAAGTCTTGTTTCAATAAATCATTATTATCTCCCAGAAAATTCTTAGAAACTAAAAATATTTTCTGGCTTTAAATAACCTGCAAAGGATTGATAAACTGTAGAAAAGGAAACAACGAATAAACACTTTCACAATGTAGTTTTGGAAGAAACATTACTGTTTATTTGGATCACTCTCAAATTCATTTTGTAAGTGTTTCTGTATATAAAAATGAATGACAAGCAAAATTTAAAAAAAATATTACTTATCCAAACATGACTTTTATCAATGTGTAAAAACATTTTGTTAATACTTTAAAATTGTTGAATATTTGGAAATATTTAAAGTGAATTTTTTCTGATGCAAATTCACTTCAAGGAGTTTAAATAACAAATAAATTAAAGTCTCAAATTCTTAACTAAACAATTTATATTTGATATGGTTTAAGTTTAATACTTTTATCTCATTGATTGCAAAATTCTTTGTTGACTCATTAACTCATTTTTTTAATTTTTATAATTTTCTTGACTTTTTCATTCTAATTGAATTCTGGAAATATTGATCAGTATAAGTTAGGAGTTAAAAGCAGAAATTATATATGGTATTTTCACACACGTTTGAGGGTATTCATTATTTATATATTTTATTTTTTTTATTTCTAGAAAGCAGCTTTCCAGGGCAATGTGATCTCCATCTGTCTTGAGCAGTTAAATGACCCTAATCCACACCTCAGGCAATGGCTTGCGCTTTGTCTAGGAAAAGTGAGTAAATATGTTTTCACATGAAGAGTTTCATGAAAACAATTCATTGATTGTCTGAAGTGATATAATTTGTACGTTTTTTTTTTTTAAATAAATGTATGATATTTCATTTGAAACAAATTTAGGAGTTGCTTTACAACATTTTCCCTATAAATTCTTTAAAGATGAAATTACTTATCATTGTAATGATTTTTTAACCTATAAGAACCAATCTTATCTGTAATAAAATCTCTTTGTAATTTTTTTCCTTTTAACTATAAGAATATTTGGGATGTATATAATAGAACTGGATTTCAATTGATTAATTAGTGTTATTTTGAATTGACTAACATTTTATATTTGTGCATTGACAAAATCCAAATCTACAAATTTGAATTAATCATGTAAATATGTGAATACTTAGATTTGTGCAAACAAAAACTGAAAACACTTAAATCAGTTAAAAATAATATATATTCTCTTATTTTTCTTTCATTTGATATTTACTAGGCTTAATTTAGTATAGCCTGAGATCAAAAGAAGCTTGGAAGATTTGCACAAGTCAAAAGAGTTTTTCTTCTTTTAAAATTAGTATTTGAAATCAAAGCTGGCTCAAATACCAGTTGTTGGCACTAGAAAATATACAACTTTCAGTCACTATTTTAAATGTTTTTAAATTGTAGGTTTGGATGAACTATGAGACTGCTCGTTGGTGTGGCGTACGTGATCTGGCTCATGAAAAACTCAGCAACCTACTGACTGATTCTGTACCTGAGGTTAGTGAATATAAATTTTGACCTTTTTATTATTTTTTTTTTAAGCATTTCTTTTGAAATTAGTACAATCTGTTAAAGCTGACATGTAAAAATGTTCAATTTGTTACCAAAACAGACCATTGTCTTTTTCTCTTTCTCTATAATTGCCAACTAATCCAAATCCCTCTACTGTTTTATTAAAATATATCGATAATGCACTGTATTTTACTACACATTTGTACACTTCATGTGGTAAATGATTATTCATTAACATATTTTTCATTTTGATAGCTGCTGTTTAACAGAAGTATTTTGACAAATTGGATCAGATAGAAATTCACCATTATTGGGGCTCTTTGAAGCATTTTTGATGGTTTGACCAATCTTTGTGTTTATATTTACTTCTTATTTTTAAGGTTATTTTAATCACTTTAATAAAATAAAGAAACTGAAATGAGAAGCAGAGGCTAAAATCCAAGCTGACATTTCTTGGAATGGGGTTGTTGAGAAATTTTATTGAAGTCACTATTTAAAACCGTGCTCTAGCAATATATTAAACTGGGTATCACTATATATTATAGGCGTCTTATTATGTTATTCTGACTTTATGCTAGTGGCTGCTGAAAAGTTCCTAGTTCAGTCTGCTTCATGAAATCTGACTAAATGATCAAAAGGACTTCTTGATTGGTCTGAGAACATTTCCATACCCACTCATAATAGGATGATGAAAAGTTCCTAGCTCAACAATTGAAAACAGTACAAGTACTGTTTAGAATTTGCTCAGGTTGTTTTTATCTCCAAACATGTATTGCAAATATTAAAAAAAAAATAAACAGAAAAAAGTTTTGCAATAAGAAGCACAAAAAACTGAAATGTAATTAATACTATTAAAATATATTGAAATGTGAGAGAAATATTTTTAGCCCTGACATGAAATATCATATCACTTGAGATGGCAAATATTTGCACATTGAAAATATTTGTAAATATTATGTATATGAAGAACAGGGGAAAAAACATTATTGAAGTTATTAATATAAGATAATAACTAAGTTTAAAACATAACTGTTGGATTGATTAATCAGCTGGTGTCAAAAATGCAGAAATCAGTTTTGATTAGAAAATTTATTAGTGATTCAATCTAGATTGTCATGAATGTTTTAAAATAATTTTATTTATCATTTTCTTCCATTTTTTAAATGTAATTGCCTGATGACTCAAATTTTCTCTTTATTGCAGGTTCGTGCCGCTGCTGTGTACGCACTGGGAACCTACATCAGTAGCTGTTCGTCAGAGCGTAGTGACCACGCCAGCAACATAGACTTAGGTATTGGGATGAGTCTGACTCACATTGTGAATGATGGTAGTCCTCTGGTACGCCAGGTGAGTCTTTCATTAGTAGTGTGGCTAACTTAATGATTTGCTCTTTTGAAGAATTAATGATGTTATGAAATATCAAGTTATATCCAAATTTGTTCAATATAATTTGTTGAAATGTTTTTATAATTGATTTTTACTTGTTCATTAAAACTAAAACTAAACCATTGCAAATTATTCTATTATAAGTCTGATTGTTCTTTAGTTCCTTAGCATGTACATTATGTTCTGCTAGTACCTCATAAATATGGTTTGACATTTGATTTCAGTGAGAAAAGAAAGAATAGAGGCGGTTATAACATTCTCGTGTTTAACATCGATTTTGGTTAAATGGAAAAACTTGTCAATTTCAGATCTTTTCAGTTGTACCCTCTTACTACTTTAAATAATGACCTGCATTCATACTTATGATTGCCAGTGCAATATTTATTAAAGTTATATTAAAAAAATTTAATGATGCAATTGGGGAATTTCCACATAGTTGTGGAACTCACAAGGAACTTATTAAATCATTAACTTAAGAATTACAACTCCTCAGAAAATTCAAATTGCAAAACAGTGAAATTTTCATAGGTATTTCTAGTTAACTATATTTACTGAGAGAAAAGGGCCAAAGAAATGAGCATTGTATTAGAAATCCTTGTTCATTCTCCAATCTCTGCTACCTTAATGGTGCGATCTGTTAACTTGTTACTTTATGAGTAACAAAGGAAGCATATATATTCCATCCAAGTTTTAGTTATCTCTGATTATGAAGTGTTTTAATGAGACCTGAAAAAATGCTTCACATAGGGATACATACCTTATTTTATTGTTTTATAGATATTACACTTTTAAAAGGTGATGGTTTGTGCCATTCCTGCATTGAGCAAATTGATTTTTGCCATTTTGTCAACTGCATTTGCTCATTTTGTGTCCCATTTTAGTGGTTCTTGCCATATTTCTGACAGACCTTATGTCATTGCACAATTAGTAGGGCACAGTATAATATAAACATAATTTTTATATTCACTAGGAAACAAAAATTTGTGTGATTTGCTTTACTGTAATGCTCTGAAGCTGAACCAGCAATATCACTGAGGTATGCATGTATTTAGATACACTTCATAACATATGCTTTTGGAATTAAAAACTACTTTGAAAAATGTTTGTGCAACTGTGTATTTTACAAGTATGAAAATAATATTATTCTAATTTAAAATGTGTTTGCAATGGTGTATTTTACAAATATATGAAAATAATATTTTAATTTAAAATATATTTTCCTTTTAGATAGAGATTCACATTGAACACTATAAACATCAGTCAATTTTTCAGGACTTACATAGCTGTATTTATTACATGTTCTTCCACATTAAACTTAAAATTAAATAGTTTTTATTTATTTATTGTAGAGATAAAATTAGAAACTGTTTAAATTTATCTTTATCCTCTGTTGACAGGAATTGGCTGTTGCTCTGGGTGGTCTTGTTCAGCAGTTTGAGTCTCCCTTTGTGGCTGTGGCATCTCAAATGTTGGAAGAAGAACGGATAAAAGAAAAGAATGCCCCAATGATTGCTGCCGTCACGTCAGGAGGATGGAATGTTGTAACATCTACATGTGCAGGTAGGAGACTGGCGGATAAAGGATATACAGAACGGGCTCTCCCCTTAAAATTCTTAAAATTGCGCTCCTGCCCCCCCCCAATACATTTCTTCTTTCCTGCATTCCTAATACTACTTACTTATTTCTCTCCACTTTTAATGCCCCCCCTTCTCTCTCTCTCTGATTTTAATAATGAACTACTAACAATTATAGATTTTTAAGATTAATTTTTCACAATGAAACAAATTTCAATATAAAATTTGCTACTTTATACTGTTTGTAAGATATTTTCAGTTTGAATTTTTAAAACATTCATATTTGAATTCTGCAAACTTGCCAGAATTTTTTTTTATTTGAATAAAGTAATTTTAATTTCTGTACATAATATTAAATAAAATTCTCGTGTGGCCTGATTGCAACTATTACCTGATGTAGAAATTTTAGGAAATTTTTGCCCATTGAACAAAATCAAAATTATGAACTTTTCTTAGGAAAAATATTTGTGATCCTTGCATTTGGTATCAATCATTTTGTTTTTGTTAAAACTTATCTAATTTATATTATGATTAAATTTTGTTCCTTTTCTTCATATAGAGTGTTTGTATCAATTTAAATGCATTCAAATTATTTCTTACAATAAATTTTTTTCTAAATAAATATCGGTTGCCCACAATAGTGTTGAAATAGTTCTGAATTTTATATATTGCATATAATTTAAAAAAATAATTGCTAAAATATCTAAAATTTAATTCCAATTTAAACAACAAAAATTCCCTTCTACATTTCCATAATTCTGTTCTTTATAAAATCAAACATAAAAATTTGTCAAATCAGTCTCATTAAGAAATTGTTTTCTGAATTAGCTTTTTTATGAGTGGTTACTTCTCTTGGGATTGGGTCTTAGCTTTAATTCATTAATTTTTCTGAAATGGTGATGATTTTGTTCAAGATACCTGTTTCCTTGAGACAAAGTTTTCAATAATACTCTACCCTTAAAACTGCCTTTTAATGCAAATAGTTATTTCCTTGTAAGAATTTTGACATTTAAAGTGTAAATACTTTGATAGAACAACCTGCTGCTTGCTTCTGAATTTTGGAAATACTTTTCTTACTAGAGAATTATTTTTAATAATAAAATTTGAAATTTATGACATTCATATTGTTTATGTTTATAACTTTTATTTTTTATTCTGAGCGCACTACCAGTAACAAATCCTGCTGCTTTTTCAATTTCCCATATTCTGTTTCTTTTCTTCCCTTGAATTTAGTAATCTGCCCTTATCCCTTTATCATAGTCTCCTTTTCCTTCTCCTTTGCCTTGCTATTCACAATTTAAAAATGAAAATAAATGCGCGTCTTGGTTTAATTGAGTCAGGTTTGTAAAATGGGTTTGATTATTCTTGATATTGTAGTGTCCCTAGTTTAGTGGTGGCAGCTGTGACCAGTTTGCTCAAGGATTTTTAATGTTACATTGCAGATTTTACAAATTTCGATAAGTCAACTTTTTCTTATATGGACAAATCATGAGCTTTATTTATCTATTATAGATGTCATAGTTTCAAATGTAATTTCTTAACCCTTGTGTTGTTATTATTATTAATAGCAACTAATAGCTGTCTTTCTTTTAATAAACATTCTCTTGTAGATATGCAAAAAAAAAATATTGAGATTTATTTATTCTTTTATTAATTTTACAGGAAATATTCATAGTTTTGTTGGCTTGAATAATTTTGATGTCTAAAAAAGGATATATCTAATGTAAGGAATGCAACCTTTGTATGTAAAGAATTTTCCTGTGAGTAACCAGTCCTTTATTTGTTCAAGATGCAAATGTGTACTGTTATAAACTGATGCAGTTGGTGTAGATTTTCCAATAAATGAGAGTTGAATTTTCATTTAACTAATTGTTTTCTATATACCTTTGATCAAAGTGTTTGAACCTACCTAACAGGCAAGTTTTAAATGTAAGCAGGTGATTTGCATTGTAAAACACTATTAAATGTATAGTGTAATGCAGACCCCAGTAAATAAGTCCACCTGCAGTGAGACAAAGCCAGCTGATCTTGCAAACCATTGCCGTTTTCATTGATGTTTTTTTGTCTTAATTCAGGTAAATAAGAATTATTTAAATAAAATATTTATTCTAGTTAAACTTTGAAGTTTTAGCCATGCGAAATTCTTTCTACTTACATTACAATTATAATCTATAAGGTTTTATATTTTTTTCCTAAATTTGTGCTTTTGTATAAATACTTGTAATAAATTAGATTGCCTTTGAGTTAATTCTTTAGTAATAAATGTAGATTTATGTTCCTTTTTATGTAAATAAATAGAAGCATTAATTTTAAAAAATCTGATTTTTAAAATGCAAAAATTTCTACCATTAAATGAAGTGTTTTCATATAACATACACACTTTTTATTTTTTCTTATCTACAAATATAAATTATCATGCAGTTGTTCTTTTGTAATGACTGCTTTTTCCCGGAATAGCCAGCAGTTAGCCTACATCAAAAATAAGATTTAAGAATAATTTATCAAATACAATCTGTAATAAAGCCTTTATCTGGTTTGCTCAATTTTTTTATGATTTTAAAATAATTTGTCTATCAGGTATTTTTTTATAGTTATAAAAAATGTTTTTATGACATTCATTCCATTGATTTGTGACGTGATATAATTGAAAAAACACTGGAGCTTTATTCTTTGATGTTGTCTTTCCTTCAGGATTGATTAAATCTTGATTGCAATCTTATCAACATCCTCCAAAGGCTCCCCTGTTTCTTTAGATAGTAATAAGCAATTTTGCAATAGTGTTTACCATTGTTTTTTGACAAGTTTTAAGGTATTTTAGCCTCTCCTGACTGGTTATGGTTAACAATTTTATCTTTTGGTCAGTAGATTTTCTAGTTTTCAGTCTGATTTTCTGCTATAGTTTTTGACAAATAATGGCATGTTTGTTTTCTTGCTTTCTCAGTTGATTTATTAGAATAAATACAACCCATTCTAAATTTATTCTATAAAATTATTCACATTCTATATATACAGCTTATTTCTGTAAAGGACAAAAATATCTAGTCCTAACTATGAGATAAATGAATATTAGGTTACATATACAACACATAGCTTTATTTCATGTTCACCCTAATGCATAAAAAACACATCCTTTGCTAGTTACCAATAATAATGAAGCACAAGACCTTGCCGAGAATAGCACACTTACACCTGTGGAGTTACAGGGTTTCTTTTTATTCAAATCTAGTATCAGTACACAAGGCCTGTTCTTTTTTTTTTTTTGTTTTTTTTTTTTTTTTTTTTTTCTCTCTTACTGGGGACACTCTACTCAACCAATGGTGATTTATCTTCTATGTAAAATACATCTCTCAAGGTTCATGGTAAGTTATTAATTGCTGGTCACACTGCTGCTATTATTGTTGTCAGTGTTGTCATTCTTGTTGTCTTCATCATTGTCTTTTCATCTCCTTTACTCAGGTAAGTAAACGTACACTAAAAGCATTTATTTCCATTATCAGGCCTTAGGGGAAGTCGCTCTGTTTCTTTCATTTTCTCTTTTGCTCTCTCTCTCTCCCATTTTTCATTATATTCTTTGCTTTTGTTTATGCAGGTTTGTCTATTTTGAAGCTTTTTTCAATTTTTTTTTCTGATTGATTTTCCTAAAATCTAATTGTATCATCTGCAACATCCTTTTCTATAAAATTCATAAAATAAAAATGTGAGCTTTGTTTATTATGTTGCATGCACACATACACACATACATTTAATGTGATTTCAGTTTTTAGTACTTATATTAATAGTTTCATTGATGCAGTTTGCCATGTGTCATTTTTGACACGTGGCAAACTGAGTCAATGAAACTATTAATATAACTATTTATATTGTTATAAAGATTCAGGTCTCTTTTTTTTTTCCAATTTCAAAACAGCAATCATATTCTGGTGTGATTGTCATACCATTGTTTCTGTAAATGTTAACTTTACAACATAAATTGTTTTTCCTATGATAAGAAGTTGGATATAAATGAGTGATTAAAAAAAATTTCTTTGATTTGTTTGATGACTAAAATATTAAGAAAATGTATAATTTACTAAAAGTGAATTTTTGGATTTCAAGTTTCAACTGATTACTGTTTAATATTAAAACTGAGTAAGTTTTAGAAAGTAAAGGTAAGTTTTTTTTGTTTTATGGAAATAAAACATTCTCCTTCTACAGAAAATATAGAAATTTCTTTATGTAGTTGATATTGTATTTTAATTTCTTATATTATTCTTATATTATAGTATGTATTAGAAATGTAAAACTGACTGATTTGAAATATTGAACATTTCAAATCTGTCACTTTTACTTTTCAGTCTCTTTGTTGGTTCTATTTGAAGTATCATTTCAGATAGTGGTATTTTACCAATAAAAAGTATCAGTTTACCTGCAAAGGACCAATTTTTTAATGTTGCAAGTACAAAGTTAGAAATTAATTTTTTCAATAATTCTTTGAAAATTAACACATTAACTGTTTTTGTTTCATGTCTAGAAGAGGTTCTTAGCCTGATCTTTGGAATAACATTTTGTCAGATCTAAAATTCTTTTTTGATATATTTGAAGGTTCAGTTATATAATCATTTTGATAGTCTCATTATGTCTATACAAGACCATCTATTCAGATAACTAATAATTATACAATATCCTCATTTATAAAATGTATGAAGTTAATAATTACTATGTCAATAACCTATTTTCCTTTATTTATTAATCTAATACTTGAATTGTATACAAAATTTCTTTTCAAGAGTGATGCTCTTGTTGCATGTTATCTTTTTATTTCTTGTAATGTTAATCTTTTAAATTATTTTTTTAATAAGGAACAAATTTGTTCCAGTCTATTTATTAATATAAACATTCAAAACCTTGCTAAAATTTAATATAAACAAAATTCTCTTCACTCATTTATGTACCAGGGACTGCTGAAAAGTTCTCAGACCAACTCACTTTCTAAAACCTGACCAAATG